TCGGCGTGCCTCGTCCAGCGGCTTTAGGCTGGGCCGAATTCCCTCTGTCTCCGGCGCGTCTGATGGCCGGTGAGAGGCCGAGACGCTCAGCCCAGCTGACCTGTCCGCCCGGCAAGGTGGTCCTGATGTTGCGGCGCGGAGGCGACCCGCTGGAGTCATTAGGTCGCCGGGTGGACAGCACTGGCTTCCTGAAATAGCCAGCCAATTGGTGCGTGGCAGACCGGCTCGCATGCGCGTGTGTCCTCCCCTAACCGGTCGGCCGTGCACACACACGCAGACGGCCCCGCCGCCAGACAGACAGGCCAGCACACAGACAGACGGCCGGTTCGTTTGCAGTGTCAGACGTCGCGTCGCCCGGTCGGTCGAGGGCGCAGACAGGCTGGCGTCACTTGTACAAGCCTGGAAGGGGAAGCGGCAAATTTTACAGCCGTGCCCTCGTCTCGCCAGTCAAACAGGCCGGCCTCCGTGGCCTAACCAATGCAGGCAGGCACAGTCGTGTCTGCCTCCACACACAGACATAAAGGCACACACGCTCGCAGGCGAGCAGCGCACACGTGTTAGTAGATGGACGCAGACACCTGTGCTGGCAGGCCCGAGTGTGAAGAGAGGAGACGGTGGCTGCAGTGGCGGAGGCCAGTAAGGAAGAGGGGAAGGCGGCGATACGCGCCATAGTCGCCTGCGCCTTTGAGGCCGCACACTCGCACGCGTGCGTGCATGCATGCATGCACGACGCGACGCTGCGCTGGATCGCGCAGACAAGCACCCAGTGCGTAGACAGGCTGGCACCAGACAGGACGGCCTCGAAAAGTCAGAAGGCAGCCGTAAGTGCAACGACATCAGGCTACAGGCGACCATCCGTAGGCCCGGCCGTTCCGGCAGGCCCAGCTGGCTCGGCAGGCCTGGACAGGCCGGAGAAACACGAGGCCGAAGGCATGACGGCATGACGGCTTGACGGCGACAGGGCGGGCGCTACACCAGACGGACGGATGGACGGGCGGACAGACGAACGGAGCTACTGCATTGGCGGGATCACAAGCGGCGTGGTCTCAGCCTCGGAGGCCGCAGACAGCCACGCTTGCCTGCGCCCGCGAGCGGCGGCACCGCCCTCGAGTCGGCGCGTCTCGACGCCTGCGCACACGCGCACACGCCGCAGCCAGCAGCGCCCCTCGCCCGACCGCCACCACATGCACACATGCACCCACGCAGGCACGCATACTGCGCGCACTGACGTGCGCACAGGCCGCCAGCAGCACTCAGTTTGGCAATCGCGTCCGCGACGCCGTCTCCGCCGTCGGGCGGAGCTCTCCGCCTTTGAGTTGAGCCATCAACACGCCGCGCCGAGTCGGACTCACGCACACACGGACGGCCTCGATCGCCGCCAATGCACACACCCACACCAGCAGGCCTGTCGACACGACGCGACGACGCACACGCACTTGCCCGCCGCTGCCAAACTGCCTCGTCATAAAACGCCTCGTCCGGCCCCATCCTGCCGCACCGGTCCCTTGTGCCCCTTCGCCCCGCCTCTAGCCCTCGGGGATCTTGAGGCTAGTCCCCCCTCCGTCGCCATAGCCACCGACCACCACTGGAGTCTTATACCTCGCCCCGATAGCCCGCCGGCGCCACAATCTCGGTAAGTTGACTCTGCACGTTTTGGTTCGTTTTTTTCACTTCATCCTCCCCCGATTTCGTCCGCGAGGGCCGGGCAGAGGCCGCGAGACAAAATGAGGGGCCGTTAGAATTGAGTCTTGCCTACAACTCGCTGGCCGGTAGTGGAGATTCTCCCAAATGTCCTGTTGAGCCTCATTCAACCTTGCCAGGCGAACGACTCTCCCGGCCCTACAGGTCGGCAGCTTCGGTTTCGCCTCTTCCTCCACTTCCTCCTTTTCTCCTTCTTCTCCTCCTCCTCTTCCTCTTTATCCTCCTTCCCCTCTTGAGGGAAGATGTGACTTTCAAGACAGGCCGAGCCTGTTGAAAATCAAAACTTTCTGTGGTGTAAATAGGGTTACAACCGACGATCCTGTCTAGTGGCCTTCAACATAATAAATTGCACAATCTCTCCTTAAGTCAATCTCACTGACCTGGAGCAACTTTGATGAACTGTCGATACGAAGACGAAAATGCTGTGGCCTCTATTTTGCTCGCAGTCCACTTTCGTCGTAAGGATGTGGTCTGATTGCATTTTCGCCACTTGGTCCTGTTGTCAGGGCGACCCAGTTGAAGGCACCTTGTCCGATGTCGTCTGCTATGGAGGTTATGATAATTGCAAGCGTTGCACCGTGGACTGGGTATATTTGCAAACGTTTCGCCGGCAACGTAGTCTTTGATGAATTGTAGCTTGGCTCTACGAATGACGAGGCGCACTGACGATGTCGGCGAAACGTCTGGAAATGTACCAAGTTCATCGTCAAACGCTGAGAATTATCATGACTACTGCAGCAGAGGACTTCGGACAAAGTACATTCAACTGGGTCGCCTTGGCAACAGAACCAAATTGCGAAAATGGGGGGTGAGAGAAATGTTTCAATTTAGTGTTCACTACTCGGTCGTGTTGTCAAGGCAGTCACGATGAAGAATTCTGTTCAGGAGACCTCTTCAATCGTACCCACGAGATTATGATGGTGAATCTTTTGAGATAACATCATTTGAAGCGGCAAATTGAGGAGATTCGTCGTTTAACCTGCTCGGAAGACGTAGTCCACGAGACATCAGCTTTCGAATCAAGCGATAATGATTGGGGTTGTCATTTTGACTTAATGTGGCAGGCAGCCGCAAAGCGTAAAATGATGCATCTTTGGTAAAGGTCATGATGCCCGATGACCCTACGACGCTACAGACTATGCGTCGAAGGCATCAAACATTCTAGACTTGAAAGACAAGATGTTTTGGTCGCTCGTTCTCGCAATTTGGTTGTGTTGCCTGGACGACCTGGTTGGACGCACCTTATCCAAACTCCTCTGCTAACGTAGTTATCATAATTGCCTGCATTGGACGGTGGACTTGGTACATTTTCAGACTTGTCGCCGGATTCCTAGTCGACATCTTCAGGGACGGCAGAAGGCTACAAGATTCGTTGACAATTTCGCCTACGAAACCGGCAAAATGCTTGGGACTGTACCAAGTACACGGTCCGAAGCTGTGAATTATGATAACTGGTGTAGCAGAGGGCTTCGGACAGGATGAGTTCAACCAGGTCTCCCAGACAACACGGCCGAAATAAATAATTCGATCGTAGAGCTGAAGACCAAGATGGTGTGATCTTCTATTGGGTCGCAATCTCGTTCGACCTCTTTTTTGCAACTTGGTCTAACCGTCAGGGAGACTTTGTGGAACGTACCTAGCCTTGTGCCCTCTGTCGTAGTATTCGTGATTTCCAGCATCGCACCATTCACTTGGTACATTCCCAGACGTTCTGCTGGCATTGTAGTCGGCATCGTTAGTAAAAGAGTTACTACCCTCTACCAAACTCTACCCAACTCTAATCAACTCTACTTAACTCTACACAACTCTACACAACTCTACCAAACTCTATTCAACTCTACTCAAATCTACTCAAATCTTCTCGACTCTACTCATTTGCGACAAATGAGGGCAGTCCTCTTGACTAATTGTCTAGTATTTCTAGTTAACTCAAAGGTATCAAGACCAAAATGATGTAACCTGGATCGTGATCGCAGTCTTCGTTCATTGCCTGTCAGTCATGAAAATGTTCGAAGAAAAGTTGGGTTTCGAGCAATCTCTTGTTTCATAATTGTTGAGCTTACTTCCATTTCGAGAGCAAGTGTTGGGTGAAGAGATGCGAAGGTCGGTTCCACCAGAAGACGACGGCGGATTCCTCTTGACTAGCTGAGTTTTCTTGACTCGTTAGCTTGAATTTTGTTGTGACGGTAACACCCTGCTCTGATGATGTTCGTCGTATGACGGTCGAAAGCCTAGCACCTTTTCACCGGAATCGAAGAAGAGTACCTCGGAAACAGCGTCAGCAGGAATGCAGGAATCCGCCATCGTCTTCTGGTGGAACCGACCTTCGAATCTCTTCACCCAACACTTTCACTCGAAGTGTAAGTAAGCTCAACAATTATGAAAATGTTCAACTTCGAACCGTGGATTGGTACCTTTGGCACATTTCCAAATTCACGATATAAAGTTGGAAAGTATCATGACTATACGAAGAGTAGGTGGACTTCAATGAATCACCAGAAGTGAAAAATTTGACAGTGAAAACAAAAAAGATTCGTAGATCAATCTCGCCTGAAGACGACGCCTGAATTTCGTTGTCCTGCAGTCGACTACCCTTCCGTTGACGCAGTCTACAAGACATCCTCCGTCGTTTCGGGTGAAAATTGTCATGGCAGGAACTTAGAATGGTGGAAGCTTGCTTAAATGAAAAGATCATCAAGCAAACAAAGGCAATACAGATGGCCGATTGTAATTCTGCCTACATGTGATATTTATTATGTGAGTATGACTCATAGTCTTCTTTAACACCTGGAAAAGAAGTATTGTAATAGGAGAGATGAAGCGGCTTTTAGCGGTGTGAATAAAAGACTATACTTAGAAACAGATAAGAAGAGCAGTTGGGTTTCGAGCAATCTCTTGAGATAACCCTTTTGTGGGAACTGTCATTTAGCATCAAAGTGCACTATGAATAAATACTTTGTCCTAGAAGTATTCATCATATTTCGTTCAAGATGATGAAGGAATGGTAGTTGAATTTTCCTACAATGACATGAGTAGAGCTGACATTTCCAGCGGGAGTCGAAGCATGACAGGGCAGCACGAAATCTCGACTCTTTATCCACAACGCCGCGTTGCCACGAGAGCTCTTGAGTCACAGGGGAGATGTGAATTTCAGGGAAGGACAGGCATTTTCCCACATCACAGTCTTTGGTGAGAGTTTCGATGAAGTTAAGTTATTAGGGGGACCTTCATTTCAAATGAAAGTACATGATGAAGAGATTCGTTTGTTGTTCTCACA